CTATTGCATCACATGTGGTTGCTAAGGTGTTGCTATGTCATTACTATTGCACCACATGTGGTTGCTAAGGTGTTGCTAGGCCATTGCTATTGCATCACATGTGATTGCTGAGGTGTCGCTAGGCCATTACTATTGCATCACAGGTGGTTGCTAAGGTGTTGCTAGGCCATTGCTATTGCATCACATGTGGTTGCTAAGGTGTTGCTATGTCATTACTATTGCACCACATGTGGTTGCTAAGGTGTTGCTAGGCCATTGCTATTGCATCACATGTGGTTGCTAAGGTGTTGCTGGGCCATTGCTATTGCATCACATGTAGTTGCTAAGGTGTTGCTATGCCATTACTATTGCATCACATGTGGTTGCTAAGGTGCTGCTATGTCATTACTATTGCATCATATGTGGTTGCTAAGGTGTTGCTAGGTCATTGCTATTGCATCACAGGTGGTTGCTAAGTTGTCGCTAGGCCATTGCTATTGCATCACATGTGGTTGCTGAGGTATTGCTAGGCTATTACTGTTGCGTTGCATGTGGTTGCTAAGGTGTTGCTAGGCCATTGCTATTGCATCACATGTGGTTGCTAAGGTGTCGCTAGGCCATTACTATTGCATCACATGTGGTTGCTAGTAAAGTTTCATTAAATCACATGTGGTTGCTAAGGTGTCCCTAGGCCATTGCTGTTGCATCATATGTGGTTGCTAAGGTGTCGCTAGGCCATTGCTGTTGCATCATATGTGGTTGCTAAGGTGTCGCTAGGCCATTGCTATTGCATCACATGTGTTTGCTAAGGTGTCGCTAGGCCATTGCTGTTGCATCATATGTGGTTGCTAAGGTGTCGCTAGGCCATTGCTGTTGCATCATATGTGGTTGCTAAGGTGTCGCTAGGCCATTGCTATTGCATCACATGTAGTTGCCAAGGTGTTGCTAGGCCATTGCTATTGCATCACATGTGGTTGCTAAGGTGTTGCTAGGCCATTGCTATGCTATCCCAGGTGGTTGCTAAGGTGTTGTTAGCAGACTTGTATGATGGTGACATAAGAGCAATGTCCAAAATTATTTGGCTACGTTTAGCTAATCCTGCAGGTTTTGTGGTTCTAGCTCAAAGTTCCCGATTTTAGAACTCACTCCATTTAAGCCAACTGGTATCCTGATCTTTGGACATGAGAAAATAATTCTATGGTTTCCACTTTTCCACTTTCTTATATGAGAGCAACGGAGCAAAGTCTCCAGTTGGTTTCTCCCAAATGGGTCCTTTCAATCAGCAGTGAGAGGGGAGGAGGAGGGGGGAGCACTGGAGCACTGGAGTGGAAATTCTGCATCACTTTCAGCCACAAACTCTCCTTTCAGAAGAAACCACAGTGGAGCGTTCTATACTTAGCCACTGTACATTACAGCTAGAGCTCTTTCATTCAGGAATCGGTTCACAGGGTTCGTCTCCTTGATTTGGTGTGGTTTGTGTGTGATACAGAGGTCTGCATGTAGTTATTGCACACAGAATACAATAACTGACATATGCTGATGTGTAGCCCTGAGATCCCAACCTGACATTTATTATGGATCTTATTTTAGGCAGCAAAGTATGAATTCAAAACATTCACATCTTGGTTCATTAATTGAGTTTGGAGTGTGTGGAAAATCCTGCAAATTTGTTTCAAATCTTGCTTTAAGTTGTTTCTCTGAGGTCTGAGTCCTGCTTTAATGAAACGGGACATTTTTATACTAATTTGCTCTGTAACGCATTTGTTTTGCTGTATTATTGACATGTAATTTTGTCAATTTCATCAAATTACATGTTTTGACTTTCTAAGTGAGAATAAGTTAACACATCCTCTACAGGTAAATATGACATTTTTAGCAGATTTTAATATGTGTGTAATTTCTATTTACTGAGTTTAACATATCACAAAAAAAAAAATAAACAAAATAGAGCATAATATATAAAATGTGCTATAACTTTAGAACAGACCACATTTTATGTTTTATTACGTTAAATTCAGTAAATGAACAGTGATTAAGCCTTAAAATGTGCAGAAGTATGTTCAATGTTGAAGCTGTTTGTTTTGTGGAAACAAATCAACAAAACATGTCAGTTGATCACGGGTGCCCAAACTTTTGCATAGGACTGCATGTTTTGTGCAGACAGATTTGAGTGTGCAGCAGGGGCATTGCTATAGGTAAGCCTGGGCCTACCTAGATTGATCACTGACCTACCCAATCAAATCAGGAAAGAATATTTATAATGCTTAATTTTTTAAGACGTTGGAATTTGATTTGTTTTCTATGAGCGCTGTCACTGAATTATGGCCAAACAAGTCATTACACTCTCTGCCGAGCTCTGCCTTCATTTCTCAGCCCTCCGGTCACTGCTTAGCTATCCGCCATTGCCTCAAGCCCTCAGTTCAGCATGTTGTTTTCTATCCATCCAAAGGCAGAAATGTTAAAAACATTGCATCAGTGGTCTACAAATTTGGTAATTACAATGCTTTCTTATACAACCTAAAATGGGCTTTTTGAAAATGTCAAAGCAAACTTCTAATGTTACTTCAATGCACTGAGTCATCAAAGGTAAGACATAAAAGGACCATAAAGCTCCTCCATGCCCACCATGGCAGTATGCTTTTGCCTACTATGATTATATTTATATTTTTAAGTTTTTGGTATTGCTTTTCCTTGTCTTTGTACATCTCAGCTGTCTGATTTGAACCTTCTTTCATCATCTTCATTGGGCAAACACACCTGTGAAGAGCAGACAGGTGCTGCAGTGTTGATTGTGTTTGTATGAAACCAGAACTTTGGTCAGTTTCTATTGTTTTGTTTCTACATACAGTAGAAGTAGAAGATAAATAACCCGATGTAATGACATCACAGGCATACTCAAAAATTTCGGACTATATGCCACTGGTGACTTTTTCCTCTTTGTTTTACAGTCAAGAAGTTTTACAAACATGTAAATTATATTCTTTGGGAGTATATCACTGTTGTCGGAAGGAAAATTTGAAAATGCCTGTTGTCATTTACATTGTATATAAATTTCATGATGAATGGACAAAAAGAAATGACCTAAAATGATTTGGAAAAAAGTCTGGTTCCATTGACTTACATTAAAAGTAAAGTATGTTTTTTCCTTCTCCCGTTAAGTTATCATTTTGGAGATATGAGGTTTTCTTCCAACAACAGCAATAAACATCAGTCATTGGCGCTGTGCAGGTGAAATGAGAGCTTGCGGACGGATGAACATCTTACTTAGACACTCGGTATCACTCTGCACCAAATTCCTCACATATCAGTACATAAGGATCTGATTCAACATTGGTGCACCGCACAACACTGATCCTTCCTGATGTTCTCATATTCTAAGCTACACACACTGACAGACAAATTTAAGAATGGTTTGATGAACAGCAGAATGAAATCAAACGTCTTCCATGCTACTGAACCTTTATGGGAACCTTATGAGCACAGAGTGCGGGGCAGATTCCCACCTCCTTCATTCCTGAAGTCTTTTCTTCTTGGAGAATGGTCTATTATCCCACAACACAAGGCTCAGAACTTGTGTAACAGCATTCCGAGAAGGATCTAAACTTTTGGAAAGTAAATAGCAGCACTAATCCTCACCCTTTTAAGGGTTCTATTAAGCATAAAAAGAACCCAGTGCTCAGAGTACAAATGATTGTGAATGTGATGTCAAACAAAACACTTAAAATTTTACATTTGCAATGTCATATTAATTTCTTCTCGGTTGAGAAGTCTTCGCCTCTTATGAGGACTTATAAGTAGATACTAGTTAGTATTTTAAAGCTTAGTTATCTCCTCAAAAAGTGACCTGAATGCAATCATTTCCAATTACAACTCTGTTTTTCTTGCCAATCAGGTCTAGATGAGCACTAGAGACGTCAGTGATCTTGAGGCAAACTGCTCTCAAATAAAAGTGTTTCAAATAAATGCACAGATTGGGTTGAGAATTTGGTTGCCGTTGCTCTGCCACTGCGGCTGTTCATGCCACTGCAGTAGACAGTTAAGTGTTAGATAAAACTACCTTATGTGATCTTTTAGACTTTGGACTCATAGTCCACTCCAACTAGCAGCAGCTAAAGCAATGAATTGTACAGTGACTGTAACTGCTGCAGTCACTGTAAACTGCTACAACCAGATGATAAAGTTTAAAATGCCCATATTTAGGCTGAATATATCCACATGCAGCAACGTTAGCTTAGTGCTAATGTGCTGTTAGAGATCCCACTAGGGATTTCTCTTTTTTTAGACTGAATTTTCACATTAATGGGCCAAAAATCTATAAAGTTCAATTCACAATTATTTTGTACATTATCATGTCCCTGTTAGGCTTATTAAGACAATAGCTGGTAACAAACCCATCAAACCCAGTAACTGCTAAACTGTCAGCCCGTTAATACATCATTAAGCAGTAACGAGGGTGAATTAAGCAGCTTCCACAGCAGCTTAATTTGTGTATTCACCATAATAATCTAGTGTTCAACTCTTATCTTACCATTGGATCTGTAGGACATGTAGTCATAATAATTACATTTGGACTGCCTATTTTAAAATTACAGATTCAGATTTTTATTAACAAATTTTAGAGTTAATGTAACTTGACGAACCACTAGCTTGATGTTTTCTTTTCTTTCTTATCAATACTGCAATAGTAAATCAACAATTAGCTCAAAATTAGTAAACAGTCACTACTGAAACATTTGGTTCAGTGTTATGATTCTTTTGTTAGTGACAAAATGGAATGTTCGATTATTACTTCTAATAAAACTAACATACTAAAGGTGTGAGGTTGATCAAAGCAAAAGGATTTTAGTCTGAAGTCCAAGTCAATTCAAAGTCCGAAATGTGTTTTGAGCTCCAACTTTAAACCGTCAACAATGAAACATCTACTTCCATATTTCAGCCTTGAACACTGAATGAGTTTATTTGTTCACTGTATTAAACTATGCATTGTTAACATAAAGAGTTGTTTTCATTGAAGCCACAGAAGACAGAAATATGGTCTCTTTAATTATTTTTGCAATCTTTCAAATTTGGAAAAATAAAAGAATGTGATACTGTTAAACATTTATTGTCCTTTTCTTTATGACTAACATCAAAACACTACTGAACCAGCAAGTAAATCAATATATCTGGCTCAATTATATTGTTGCTGTCTTGACAAAACCTCATATCTCTAAAATGATAACTTTACAAGACACAGATCAAACTTTCTTAACTTTGAATTCTGAAACTCTTTTTGGAGCATTTCTATTGTTCATCATTAAATCCTACCAGATTGTAAAAAATAGCTTGCATTTTAAAATTCTGTAGAAAAAAAAAGATACAACGTTTGTTTGTTCTGACAGCGATGATGGGTCATTCTCCATTTGGAGTGGGAATTTAAGTGAAAATATTTTTAATCAATTTCTTTAACATCAGAACCAAAATAACCTTAACACGTCCATTAATATTGCCTGTTATACATAAATACAAACTGGAGAGCTTAATTCCAAACGTATTTAAATACATTTTAATGTAAAATGCAACGTTTTTGTCAATTTGTCACGGGTGTTACTCCTTAATGAGGCGTTCTTATTGTTATAAATTTATTTTCCATATAAACTTAACTTGACTGTATTTATTGAAGAAATTCAATGAGAATAATCACGTCACCAAAGCTTTTTTATACACATGCACTAAAAAATATGCTTTAATATATTTTAACAGACCTCCATGAACTATTAACAAAAAATGATTCAATTGTTGGACAATAAACACAGAAATTTAACTGCTGAGATAAAAATCAATAGTGAATTATTATAATGTTTTAGGAGCTGGTCCTGCAGAAGAAGAAGACTGTGACATGGTTTCCCACTCCAAATTAAGAATGACCCATATGCAGCTATATATTTATTAAAGAAACATTGACCGCAGTGCCAGATCCTGTCTGAGACACTTAAAGTGGTGTCTTGTGATGAACAGCGATCAGTATCTATCCAATGTGTTCACATGTTGGAAGCAATAGAGAAATGAGAGAGAGTTGTTTTGTGTTCAAATGTCCTGCTTCTGTGCTAGTGGACCACCTTCCCGCTTACAAGTTATTATTGACCGTCTAAATGTCTTCTGTAGGTTTCAATCTCAGCCTCCAGCTCTCCTTTGAGATTAAGCAGAATTGAATAATCCTGCCTGTGCTTCTGGATGTTACTGCGCAGCTCTGTCAGCTCAGCCTCCAGCTGGAGGATAATGGCATTGTACTGCTCCACCTGCATGTTGCAGCGCAGCTGAGCTTCCTCAAGAGATCCCAGCAGAGAGGCTTTCTGTGTACCAGAGGAATAAAATATGAAGGCAAAGTCAGCAAAATGGAAATACAGTAGTCAAACAGACATCTCTCACCAGTCCGGCCTGAGTCTGAAGCTCAATCTCCAGAGACTGCATCTCTCTGCGCTTCTCCTGCACTTGGTTTTGAGCCTCCTTCAGTGCAGCCGTGTTCTCCGTCACCTGTACTTCTACTTCTATGATCTGCATGCAGTCACAAATAAAAATGATGCAGTTATTTTGCGCATGTTCCTCAAAAATGTATTCTGAGTTCTTTATTTCAAAAGTGGAATAAAATCGAACCTTTGATTCATGCCAGGCTTTCAGCTCCTCCTGGTTCTTCAGGGCCATCTTCTCATACTTTGCTCTCATCTCCTCCATGATCCGAGCCAGGTCCTGTCCTTTAGGAGCATCAACGTCCACCTGCACTCCTGACTGGGCAATCTGATTATGTATTTCTGTCACTTCCTAAAAAAAGATAGCAAGAACTGTTCTTATGAAGCAGTGGCTAGAACCGTTCCTTCTAACCACTGCTTTATTAAAATATTGCATTCTGCAATTCAGCTGTGCTAGCAAAGAATGCTTTCTGAAGATAATTAGTAGGGGAGAGTGGAGCGCAAACTAACAGCAGGTAAGATGTAACATGGATACTTTTAAGCAGTAGAACATGAGAGGGAGTGTTTTATTGGCGATAACACACTCCTCCAGTGTTCTATTGCTTTTATACAACAGTTAAATAAATAAAGTAATTAAGTAATAAATTAATAAACTGGGCTGTGAACGCGGCGTTTGATATGTTTTAATGTTCGCAGTTCATTCACCAAATTATAGTTCCTTAACGAGCAGCTACATCAGAGTAACGAGCTCCGCCCACTCGCTGCACAGCCGGCAGTTCGTTCTCCAGCTCCTTACACTGAATTCTGTCATCACCACTGAGCAGCTTTTCAGTCGGCAGCTGTGACAGAAGAACAGTTAAACAACCTGGAATCAGCCAGAAATGAACCCAACACCATTCGCCAAACGTGTAGTCTGATCTCCAGAGTCTGACAAAATCAGACTGAGCCATAAAACTGCTGCAATATCAAGTTCAGCTCAGTTTTGTCAGTTTTTGCCAGATCAGTATTAATGTTGTTTTGTTCCAGCCAGTCTGTAAAACATCTTACAGCCCATTTTGTTTGGCGAATGGTGTTGGGTTCATTTCTGGCTGATTCCAGGTTGTTTAGCTGTTCTTCTGTCACAGCTGCCGACTGAAAAGCTGCTCAGTGGTGATGACAGTTTGGGAATTTAGTGTCGTCTCATCTTCAGAGTCTGACCAAATCGGCTGTCGGTCAAATGTGATCTTAAAAGTGTCCATTTTCTGTTTGTGGAAAAGTAAGAAGAAAAAACGTTCAAATGGCTTGAGCACCTCCTACAGCTGTCAGAGTCGTTGCTTAGCAACGGCGTCTCAGCGGAGTGATACAGTGTTTGTGAAAAAAACGTGATGTTATGGTGAAATAACAGCACAGTTAGAACCCCTCTCAACCAATCAGCTTGCGTGGCCGGAGCTAACTGTTGTATAATATGTGCTACATCTACAACGCAAGAATAGCTCAGTCAATTTTCAGTGAAGTCCCTGCAGTTACTTAATAATACACCTTAGTATGTAATGGGAAGACTGGGATTTCACCTTATTGAATTTACTGTGTTTTCTGTGGCTTTACCAGACTTTGTAGTGACTGTTATGACTAGCCGTACTTGTGGGGTTAGTTGTAATCTTTCTACTCACATTGCTTTTGGTAGAACTGTTGATAAATTGTAGAAGCTGGAAATGCATCCATGCCAGGTTGAACCCCACTCTCCTCTAATAGTAACTATCAATTAATGACCATCAAAGAACTATCAATGAAATAACTATCAGTAAAGAATCTAAAATAAATTCTGTTACACATTTCACACTTTTTATGTCTTCTCTTTTTCATACACCTGAGTGAACAGTTCAGGTTATTATCAGGCCCTTCAGGGAAAACACAAAAATCCGAAGAGCATTACATCCCCAGAGTATAAGACCAACTTGTACTGTAAGGTCACCTGTTGATGGTTTTTCTTTAGAGAGATGAGCTGTTCAGTCAGTGTCTCGACATCATTCTCCAGGTGCAGTTGCTGCACATTAGTGTCACCCAAAAGCTTTCTCAGGTCACGGATGTCTGATTCAACACTCTGTCGAATCTGAAGCTCGTGTTCAAACCTACAGACAGAAAGCTGCAATTAGACCTTCATAAGGTTATGCAGGTGGAAATAAAGCCAGTCTACACTTCAACAAAAGTGAGCACAAAAGGGCTTTAACATCATCTTCCTCACTTAGCCTTGAAGTCATCAATAGACAGAGCACTATTGTCCATCTGCAGGGCCACCTGTGCATTGCTCAAGGTCGTCTCTCGAATCTGAAAAAAGAAATAGATTCATCATGTTGGATAAATCTGGGGATGTATTACAGAAACTTCCTATTCGTGTTACAGAAGCAAATCTGGTCTTAATTAAGAATCTCATCTTATCTTACAGCATCTTTTCCTATCTCAAGTTAGGAAATCTTAACTTTCTTGATTGAAGTCGACAATCAACTGTCGTGTCTGTTACCTAGTAACCGACCATACGCGCACAGCTGAAACGTAAACACGTAATCCAGTTAGTTAGCCAGACAGCTAACGTTAGCTACCGTTACTAAGGTAAAGAAGGTCAAACAAAACTAAAGCACGATAAACTGAGAGTTAAGAATATTGTTTCAGCGCCCCCTGCTGTATATCAGAGCATCACCGGCTCCAGTTTCCAAACGCTTTAACATTATTCCTCCTAATAAACAGACACACGTTCAGCTCTCCCCATTATTCACCACCATCACTGGAATATTGTATCTAACAAGTTTTTATCAAACATTAACACCCAAAGGTAATCAGAGGGGACAGTGGAAATCGAGTCTGCGTTTTCAGTGTGGATAAATGTGGCGTCATTATGCTGGTTATAGTGAACTGTGTTACGTATCACTGCATAAAACAATAGAAACAGACGATTAAAACTGAAGTTAAGATGCAAGGAGGTTTGTCTTAAAGTTCAGAAAATATTTAGGATATTTTTGGCAATGTTTCTGTAAAACCACTTTTTTACCTGGAAATAAGATTATAGACTTAAGAAGTGTTGTTCTTTTAACAATGATTTTGCTGATGTAATATTTTATTTACAGGTGAGTGATGTACACTTTCGAATCAAGTGGATTTAAAACTCAATGCGTCACTTTTTCAGTGCAGTACATCACAATATGTAGACCTACATGGATCATGAGTGGCGGAGGCTGGAATAGACTGAAAAAGAGAGCTGGGCCTGGACGTTTACATTTTACATTTATGGCATTTGGCAAAAACCCTTTTCCAGAGCGATTTACACAGGTAGGTGAAGGTGGTGTTGGGAGTCTTGCCCAAGGACTCTTATTGGTATAGTGTAGGGTGCTTACCCAGGTGGAGGATTGAACCCCAGTCTACAGCAAAGAAGGCAGAGGTGTTACCCACTACACTATACCAACCATAAATGGACAAAAAATGGACGAAAATGTGTTTGGCAAATGGTACTTGAAATTCGACTCTGGAACCTCTAAATTTGATAAAGAGTATACTTACAATCTTAAAGTAATAGAATGTAAAAAATATGTAAAACTGTGAGAAAAGTACCACAAATACAAATCTAGGAAAAATGTAGTTTGTGTTCTTCGGAAAACATTGAGGACGTTAACTTATAAATAATAATTATGTTCAAACGCACATAATCAGATTTGGGCCGAATGCTTTCAAAAAGTAGTGATGGCTGAATACTGAATACTGTACACACTGTCCTAAACGTTTTCAGTTATGTATTCCATTACAATAATAAAAAATATTCAGAATTAATTTAGAAAACATGAGCCACACAGGGAAAACTCTGCTGATGTAATATTTACATATAGTATATTTAATTCATACTGTGTAATATATTTAATTCATACTGTAATATTTATATGTAATATATTTAATTCATACTGTAATATTTATATGCAATATATTTAATTCATACTGTTCCTCGCTGTTATTCTTCTGTTGACACGTCTCATGAGAAATTCACTAGTTTAAATGAAGTAACAATATTCTCAACATTATTTTGGCTCTCATCACTCTCAGTCCACTGCAGCTCCCACAGTCCCACTGCTGTCTTAACTGAGCAAACAATTCACTATAACATATATCACAAAGGCACTGCAAATGCAGAAGACTCTTCTCTGGAGTAAAGGTGGTGCATAAATCGAGTAGCCACCCCCATCTCTGTCATGTAGACCGAGATTTCTTATCCTGTGCCTATTCGGTCATAAACATTACAGATGTCCTGTGGTAAACTGCCATTACACCACCTCCCCATGGAAAACTAATCCTGTCCAAATAGGGCTTAAGACGTCTAATGCATTGGAGATTAAGTTCTTGCCCTGAACACTTGTCCATGTGTCTCAACTTGAGTTTTGGACAAATTGCAAATTTTAAAATTTGAGTCCTCTTACTGAAGTAGAAAGTCGAGGGGAGCAACTCAATATGTGTGAAATTGGCTTCAAATTTGGAAAAAAAAACATGTTTAACAGTTAATATGATAAATTATTATTGCCACTCATTCTTTTAACCCCTTAAAAGGCCAAAGTTTTATTACATTCTTCTATAACCTAACAATAGCCTACCCGGTTTGCCTTGAAGTCCCTGTAGTTACTGAATAATACACCTTAGAATGGTAAACAACCTGAGTTAAACATTGTTTCTCCAAGTTTGACCCTTCTAACCAACCAGTTTCACCCTGAAGACCAGCTGCTCAAGTTGCTGCGTGATTCCAGGATTGTACTCCTCTCATTCAAATAAAGCTTTTTAAAGGCAAGGTCCAGTGAAGGCTCTCTTGATAAAAGTTAATTCCAGCTACTGCTATGGTGAATTTGTTTATCATTGAAGGACGTCAAGTCTTAAGTAAGCAAACACACCATTGATGATGACAATATCAGAAATATTAACGTTAGCACTGGAGGACGCCTTCTAGAACAGTGTAGACTGTGGAAACTATGGATAAATAATGAATCACGGAGGAGTTGGAACATGCAGTCACTGCTGCTCTCACTGGACGTCGGTAATGAAAACTGGAAAATGCCTATGCGAAGCATATAGTTCACATAATTGCCATCATGTTATACAATAATTGAAAGCAATGAATACATTCTGATAAAGCTTTCTACATCCACTTATATAGATATAATGAGAGCACTGCTTTTTAAATAGAAAAAATCTTTAGGATAAAATTTGAGGAAATAAGACAAATGTGATTAATCACAATAAAACAAACAAAAATAAGGCAACTAATCACAATTTAATATTTTAATCTAATTTAATTTTCTTTTTTTCTTAAATATATATTATTAGTAATACTTATTTCGTCTTCTCATTTAATAACTTGGTCAAAGATTTCGATCAGTCTAAATTCAGAGTTTATTGCAGACCGGAGTACCTCTTTGTGCAGCTGGGTGACGATGGCCTCGTATCGGCTGTAGTCGTGCAGTTCAGGTCCTCTCTTCTCCAGAACCTCACTGATCTGCAGCTCCAGCTTGCTGTTTGCCTGTTCCAGGGTCCTCACCTTCTCTAGATATGAGGCCAGACGATCGTTCAGGTTCTGCATGGTCACTTTCTCACTGCCCGCACCAAGTTCCACAACAGTGGATCCATAGGGGCCCTCCTGGAGAACACTTCTACTACCCGTGTTGGAGAGCTCCAAGGGAAACATATGCTTCACCACCTGAGGTGTTCCCGGTGATGCGGGACTGCTGCCCACATTTCGAGGAGAATAATGCTGTGATGTTTCTTTAACAAAAGATGCTGAATACATTGTTCTTTGAAGTGCTGAGGCTAGTTCTGCAACAGACAGGCTTTGGACTGCAGCTAGTTTTTAAACTTCACTTGTACTTGGGACATTATAAATCTTTTACTTTTATATTATCATGTACTTTGGACTCAAACTCCACCCCCAAATAACTGCAATCAAAGAAATATTGGCCTTTATTGCAAGGATGGAAAATTACTTTCACATTCCGTTTGTACTTATATGGGATTACTACAGTACTTTCATGTGTATAACTTTCATTTTACATATTATGTAGCAAAACTGACAGTTTAGTGTTCTAATTCCCTTGTGTGATGTTGATGTGTTTGTTACTCAGTGGTCTGGTGGAACCACCACATTATTGTTTATTTAAATCAATACAGCCATAGCAATTTATGTAAAAATACCAGATGTTTAAAATATCACAAGTGTCCAGCGTAGGGTTCTCCTTTAGCAGCTGTAGCCAGTCAGCAGCCTGTCCATGTTGTCCACCCTCACACACACACACACACACACACACACACTAACAGCAGGCCATGTAGGAGGAGAACAGAGTGAAGGACACAGCACCTCCACACTTTTACTCCCTGCAGGTTCACCCAACACCACATGTGTAATATAAATGTGTGGGGGGGTGAACAGAGTGAAGACACTGAAAATGGGTTATTTTATATGTTCTTCACAGAAAATGAGCAAAGACCAAGAATCTGAGGTTGAAATAATAATAAACCACATCATTTTTTCTTTTAGTGAACATTGAAAATGGGTCCCACAGACCTGAACACCACACAAGGGCTAATATGCTAATGATAACATGACACAATGCCTGTAATGTCTGTAACACTTGTTTCAGAATAAAAGTGCACTCTCTCAAAACGTTTAAACTCAACACTTGACAAAAAACTGAACTGCTTTAACTTCTGTGTCTGCAAGTCTGCTGAATTATAAACTAAATCAAAGAAGGGAAGTTCAGGGTCTGTGTAAGGGTAATGTAGGTTCAACACATTTCGACAGTACAAAACAAAGATCCACTTTCAGTTATTTAATGTCCGGTCAAAACAGCTATTAAGGATGAGTTCATTTCTCAGGAGATCTTTCTGAGGATATTAGCTATGAGATAACCCACTTGTGTAAGGAAGAGAAGGTCAAAGGTAGGTGAAAATACAGGAGTTGAGAAATTAAATTAAGTACAACATTCTCAACATTATTTTGGTTCTCACTGCCTGCTTCAGTCCACCGCTGCTCCCATAATCCCACTGTAGTCTCATGAACTATGCAAACAATTCACCATTTCCCATAACACAGTCTTGTAAATCTGACCATAACGTAGGTAGGCATGTGATTTTCAGTTGATGACAGTCAACAAAACGCCTGCACAAGTCCAGCACATTTAATTAATACCTGGCTCTTCACAGCGAAATCACTACTGTGATTTATCAGTCTAAAATCAAAGGAAATTAAATTAAAAAACAAAAGGTTCAAAGAATAATTAGAACATACAGAGAAAACGAGACAACAACAACCATGCAAGACCTGGTAGACACCAAAACTGTCACCATCAGATAAACAGTCTTCTCATCTTTCAGAGACGTGAGAAAATCAAACTCCACTCCGTCTTTTTTTCTGAAAAACGCTTAAGTGTTTCTGTCCATCCAATCCCAATTAATACCATTGATTTCAGAAGAAACTTTGGACGGGCAGGTGTCCATACACTTTTGGACACGATGTAGCTGTTTTATGTTAAGTGTTGCAGGCACTTTTCTTATGGAAATGATACAACATAGGATACATTTTCATGCATATGTGAACTGAGCACTGGGTTACAGTTAGTGGCAAACCATGACTTTTAGAGCTGGGCCTTCAGTGCAGGCCGTAAATGTCAACTCTGTGAAAGAACAACAACAAAAAAAAACCTCTATGATATTTAAACAATTGGTCTCTCCCAGAGTAAATCTAAAAGTGATCCGTTGGCTACAGTAGCAGGGTTTGCATTCAAATGATTTGCAGGTTTTAAGCACATTTCCACAAGTATGGATTGATCAGCATTAATGCCTTACCCCTACCCCCTACGACCGGACCCAGCTAGTGGTGGTGGGGAGGAAGGAGGGGAACGTCAGCAGCAGCAGATTAGGTATCATTTTAAAGACAGGTGTACCCCATGATTGGTCAGAAGTAATGGATGAATGAACGACGTAGCATTAGAGTCTTCCTGGCAGAACTTTTGCTAAAGCTTCCATATTCTGGGAAAAAAAATCCAGACTGGCCAAAAATGAACTCAAAATTACAGACTATTTTTGGTTCCCTGAAATCATTAGGTCTCCTCTGAAGACAGAGAAGACTGCTGTCATGGTGTCCCCCCTTTGGGTGGCCTGCACTGGGAACTGACTGAGTCCAGCTTTATCGCCACCCATTCGTTACCACACATACCGGCAGTTAGTTCTGAGCTCATTAAAGGTCTCAGATGTGGCCTTTATTTTGGCTTCACTCTTGTCAATTTCTATCTGCATGTCTGAGCTGTTTTTCCTTGTTATGTTATTTTTCCTGCTTGTTTTCTTTGTTTTTTTTAATTGTGATTCTTGTTTTCTGGATTCTGATCATGGACTTTCCTTGTGTGTTCCTGCCTTCCTGTGTTTTGACCCCTGCCTGCTCTGGTGACTATGAACGTTGGATTGCCCCCATTAAAGCTACTCTGCACCTGTATCCTGTCTCAACTCCCTGTCTATTACAGTTCCCCTCTGGTTACAGGGTAATTTCAGTAATGCACAGCAAGTCATTTCTCCTCTGCATGAGTGCAAATTTCTTTTGATGGAATGACTTTGATACAAAGGCCGCACGGACTTGCACGTCCTGTTCGTGCCTCTACAAGCTTTGTTTTGTAAATATTCATGCAAATAACCAAACAACTCCCCTGTCATTCCCAAGTGACCAGTACATGGCTGGGTGTGGCTATGAAACAAGAAGTTTAAAGAATTTGTTGATAACACTGTGACTTTGTCTTTAATAAAGCTTGCCTTCATATCTAAAAGTACAAGACACTTATTGTTATACTTGTTATTTCAGCTGAGCTGATTTTCACCTACACAACCCCTGACCAAAGCCCAGTTTCCTTCATAAATACACTGGAACTGCTACAAGAGAAATATAATGTCAAATAATACAACAGACACAAGAAGATACTGTTGAGGTTTATTGAAAGTGACCAGAATGGATGGATACAACACAACAGGCAAACCGTGCCAATCAGCTTGACTTCAGAATAATGGTACAACAGCATTCGAACAGGGATTCTGTGGTCTTAACTTTGTCTTGGCTTCTGTTGTCTTTGGTTTAGTACTGCTGACCATATAATCAACTAGTCCTGAAACATATTTTGAAGTTTCTATTAGTTCTGAAACACCTTGGATGCAATAAATATGTTTTTATTTCCGCACCAACAACTCTGTGGAAGGTTGTCAGTATTGGCCTGTGAGGTGTTAGTGTTGTGTTGCTGGGGGGACGCTGGTGACTGATTAGAGATTCCTCTCCTTGGTCTCTGTGCTAGAGGACACCACCTTCCCATCCACCAGGGTCTGTGTGACCGTCATTACTTTTACCCTCTTCTGCTCGTCGACGGCGTCCTCGAGCCTGAGATAGAGAGAGAAATTTCTCATGAGCTGTGAATGAGGAATGTTGAGTCAACAAATTTTGGACAATAAGGTGAACTACAAGCGCCACAAGCTTTCAAACTACACTCACTTGAAATCTCCGCCATCCAGAAGCCTTCTGTAGGTGGCGATCTCAGCCTCTAGTTTCATCTTCATGTTGAGCAGAACTTCGTACTCCTGCGTCTGCTGCTTGATGTTGTTGCGAAGCTGCATCAGCTCAGCCTCTAACTGCAGGATGATGGCGTTCAGATTCTCGATTTCAGCGTTGTAGCGCAATTCTGTGTCCCGCAATGTGCCTTCCAGTGAAGCTTTCTGTGTGAAAGAATGTACAGAATCCACGGGTAAGACAAAGAGTAGAAGATTAAGATTAAGAGACCCTTATTAATCCCACAGCAGGGAAATTTCACCTCTGGATTTTAACCCATCTGTGCAGTGAAACACCACATATGCACTAGTGAATGCATACACACTAGGGAGCAGTGAGCACATTGCCCAGAGCGAGGGGCAGCCCTATCCATGGCACCCAGGGAGCAGTTGGGGGTTAGGTGTCTTGCTCAAGGGCACTTCAGTCACATACTGTTGGCTCTGGGGATCGAACCGGCGACCTTCCGGTCACAAGGTCCGGAACCTCCAGCCCACGACTGCCCCACACTCCCTGAGTAAGTCATTTTAGATCTTGGGTAGAACTTCCACAAACTTTCAAGTTCAAACCAAGTTTTGGTGAATCAGGGGCACTTCACACTAGACCTGATGATCTGTGGTTTGGGAAGCTATTTAGATGTTTGGCTTTTGGTTATAAGCAGGTATGTTTTTTTATAGAAGCTTCTCCCTTCATCATTCATCAGCTACAAAGTATGGAACCAATCCACGACCATGTGGAACGATGTAACTTTAAAGTAAAATGAGCAAAGGAGAAGCAGAAACTAATACAAAAAGATACGCACCAGGCTCTTCTGTGACTCCAGCTCAATCTCCAGTGTCTGAAGCTGTCTGCGGAGTTCGTTGACTTCTGTTCGTGCACCCTGGAGGGCTTCTGTGTTTTGTGTGACTTGTACCTGGACTTCTTGGATCTGAAACAGGACAGCGAAATTTTAAGTTATGACGAGAAAGTTGAAAATCTGCCCAAATACAGCTCGGAGGAATAATCAACAGAATAGAACGTCTGAGCAAGAATGTCACCGACAGCTCTTTCTTAACTATACCTGTGACTCGTGCCAGGCTTTCAGCTCCTCCTGGTTCTTCTGGGCCATCTTCTCATACTTGGCTCTTATCTCCTCCATGATCTGAGCTAGGTCCTGTCCTTTAGGAGCATCAACGTCCACCTGCACTCCTGACTGGGCGACCTGGTTACGCAAGTCATTTACCTCCTATTAAGACAAAAAAAGAGAAGGTGAACTCAAGGTGAAGACTGTACCAGCTTTTATGTTTGATTTGGGG